CTACTACTACTACTACTACTACTACTACTACTACTACTACTACTACTTGGGTTATTCACAAACCAACCACTAACCCAAGCAGTAATTAGCAGTTATGTTATCCACTTGGGTTTCGTGGTGCGGCTTTTGCCAAGTCTCTGGGAGGCCGGCCTTCAAGGCGCTTTGCCGTGCAGGATTCTGCCCCACGCCCGCCGTCAAGACCTGTCCGATGATGACCTGAAGCGTGTGCGCTGCAGAAATAATGGCAGGAGCCAGTGAAACCAAACCAAACACCATGTCGTAGATGATATATTATACCTATATAAATATGTATGAAACCTTTATACCTAGAACCTGAGTGACCTCTATTTTGGACCACCAACCAACCCACATATGATCCTTTCCTATCAAAACAGCTCGTGGTCAAATGGTGCAGAAGATCCTGTCTTTGAGGGCTTGTGGGGCCCGGCCCACTCATGGTATATTAAAAATTCCAACGAGGGTATCGTCACTCGTGTTCTCCCATCTTCTTCCCACTTTCAGTGAAGTTGAAGTGCAGCAAAGCCCCGGACGGACTCGTGTTCCAATACTCAGCAAGTACAGTGAGTACAGCTCTATAGTCTCCCCACAAGTCCAGGGTCTAATCCAGTAAAACCTGCTCTTCTACCTGATTAAGTACTTTAGTGGTTTTGTATGATCAACTTCAGCAAAATGAGGTAATTGAGCCGTAGCGTAGGGTTGGTGTTCATTTAGGACGTTGTTCTGTAGAAGGGGAAAGGTGTGTCAAATGGTTCGTTTCGCAGAGCGTTTTTGCCACAAAACGCCTGGGCCAAGTCCTCATCGTTTTTTCGCCAGAGGAATTCCAAAAGAGGGTGAGTTCTCACCACCGAGTTCACTTCCAGAGGCCTCTCTTTCGACCTGGGTTCCTTGCTGTTTCCTGGGCCTCACCCACCACAGGCCCACTCCTGCCCACCCTGACCGCCTCATCCACCATGCCATGGCTCACCTTGCCACCAGTGTCCTCTTCGCGGACGGTGGAGATGACCGAACCCGAACACCGTGTGAAATTATGATTCAACCATCCATGAATATGGAATATAGTTATAATGCGTTATAAAGAAATTACTACTGTAACAGTACAGTAGTAATATTACATGAATCTATTTACCCATGAAAATGGCCCAATGCAGGTAATTATATGTAGATAACTCTTCCAATATACATGAATGGTCTGGGTGGTCGAACGGGTGGCCAATATGGGCCGTCCTACAATGGGCGAGTTCACGGGCTGCCAATGATTAATATATGATTACACTCGGACTCACTAACATGGAAGTGGAAAATGGGACCCTGGAAGAGTGCTGTCCTCTACAAGAGGAGGGGTGAACTCCACTTCCATGTTAGTGAGTCAAAGTGTATATATTGGAACATCCATCTGACACGAGAAAACCATAAAACACAAACTTCTAAAGGAGCCTCAGTGCAAAGCACCCCCACGGACATCTTCTGCTCCGTGCTCATTTGAACACCTTGTTCAATGTTGTGGGGGAATCCCTCACAAAACAAGCCCTACAGGAAAAACAACAGTAAAATCTGGTCATTTGCCTCATTGAGCAGTGTTTTTGTATGATCAACTCCAACAAAATGAGGTCTTTGACCTGTAGGGAAACGTTTAAACATGTTTCAAAGGGTCTAGAGTCTAGAGTGGGTTGACCACGAACAGCATGTTCTCCCACATGGTCGGAGAAAGGCTGTATAGAACATGGGGGGCCAAATAGGTTCCAAACCAAGTGGATCTGGTGATTTTCACAAAACCTGCCAAGTGGATTGGGTAGATGGTGGAGGCCCAAGTGTAACGGAAATCAACATCTGTAGGGATTGGTTCTTGATCTTTCATCAATAGTGGATAGGCTGTCAAGCTTGCTTTACCTATCCTGCAGAATGTGTCAAACACACACACCAAAAGCGCCCAAGCCAAAACATGTGGGGATCGTTTTGGTAGCACCAGGGGCGGTCCTCCTGGGTCGTTTTGGCAGCAAGGATGATCGAACGGACGAACTTGAGTCTCCGGCTCTCCGCCCGAAACCCTCCGTCGCGCCATCTCTCTTTTCCACGTCAACTCATTTCAATACCATCTGGGGTGGACAATGGCTGAGCCGGTCGGGGCCGGGCCCTAAATCTATAGAGAAGAAGGCCAGTAGCTAAACAAACCACCATGATACAAAGAAGCCGATCAAAAAACTTCCACTTCGATCGCACAATGGGTACAGGAAGTCCAATCTGCTCTCTGCAGGGCTTGCCACCAGGGAAGGTGAACTCTAACATCACTGTACAAAACGTGATGTTGCGCAGTAGCTCCACTGCGTCCAGAATGAGCTCACCATACACCTCATGACTTCCGGGTCTTTCCACGATCTCCGGGATCTCTTTCGCGTTCAACCTGATATGTTCTCGCATGTCGACCTTCTCTGGGAGCCCGGTGGCGTCCTGAATTTGTGGCCGAAAATCATCCAAAGCGACCATGGAGATCACTGCCTTCTGGGCAGGGGTAGCGTTCACCTGGTTCTTCAGGGAGGTCAAGTGTTCAAACTTAGGGCTAGACCAACGAATGTCATACAAGTTTCCACTCCAGGCGACTAAATCCAGCTTCCAGTGGTACAGCTCCTCCAGGTGTATTTGGCAGTCTTTTTGAAGGCCTGCTTCAGCAACCTCAACACTCCAACTCAGCGAAAGATGTCCCACAGGCACTTCACAGGAGGCTTCAATCCCACCTCGCATGGCAAAATGCATGAAGAAATCGGTCTGAAAATACTCATCATCTGCCATCCAAACCAGGTCCAAAGGGAAGATGATGCATTGCACTTTGGCCATGTCCCCTCGATCAAGGCGGAAGGACCGTGTAGAGGGATGATGGACAGCTAAATGTTTGCTGTGAGCCAGCTCCATCTTGGCGCACTGTTTCCGGGTGTCCATTACATCCAGTTTCATGTCATCAGGCATGTTGCGACAGTCCAGTCCAAATTCTAAGAAGGCAGGCATCTGTTCCAACTCTGGATTTTGCTCATGGCAGTCATAATGCAAGCTGCTCACCTCAATGGTACAGCCGGTGCTCAAATTGCCAATGAAGAGTTGCTTTGTATGCGTTTGGGGGTCCAGCATCAAAAATGAGCCGTCGGACGTCGCAAAGGTTGTGAACAAGAGCTTTGCCCATGGCGAGGCCCGTGGCAACATTGGAATCAACTTTCTTGCTGCTTGCCTGCGCTGCTTTCGATTACTGTGGAAATCTCACCTCTCAAATTATAGCAAATTACTCAGGCCATAAAATACAAACGACAGGATGAACAATACAAGGAGCTGCAGCAAACGACAACAGCGACAAAGCCGATCATTCATACACAACAATCCCAGACACTCCATGTATGGCATATTTGCCACCCCATGGACCCCTGAAACCACCCCAACTGATCGGCAGTCCTATTAGTCGTGTCTGGGAATAGTATCGACATGTATCGACCACACGCGCGTGGGCTGCCATTGGACGCCCCGCAGCCGCCCGCGGCCTGCAGGAGTTGTTGGATCACCTGTGCTCCCAGCTGCACCGCACTGGTGCCTGCAGTGCTGAAACAAAGAAACAACGGTGACCTCGAGGAGAGACTCCACTTGCAGTTATGCAAATCTATATATTGTTTCTGGGGGTTCCCTTCTCCGGTCATTTCATGAAATATTGAGATGATGATCTGTGGTTTTCTAGGATATCGAGGGCAAACCGATTCAGGAAGAGATTTCACATACGAAGAGACTTATGGAACCCCTCATTCTGCTGAACCCTGGAAATCTACAGGGTTCTTACATGTTCTTACCTTAATGTCCACTTTGGTCTCTTACCACAAAAATGAACAACAATGAAAACACCACATACAAACAATATCAAACCATTCTCCTTGCAATCTCGCTTCTTTGCCGCTTTGGTTCAGAGCCACTGCAGCCCCCGTCCACCGAACCACGTGGCTCCGCGATGCGGAACCGGCCTGCCAGGGAGCCACCGAACTTCCCCACCGCCGTGCGCCTGGAGTTTGCCACCGGTTTCCGCTGTTTTTCCCCTTTCGGTGGCTTCAGCCGTTTCGGTGAAGTGATTCCCGGATGCCACTGAATTTCAATGACATGAAGATACGACTGGACCCCTCCAAATCCTCAATCAGTACTCCCGGACGCTCACCGTTCTAAAGAAACGAAGAGTGTTCCTGCGTGGAATCCCTTGCGTGGATCCATTGAATGACCGGTAGACCGGTGTCTGCTTTCGACCGAACACCCGGTACCCCGCCGCTAAGCGGATCGGGCCGGTCCATGTAGCTTTCCATGTCAGGAGTAGGACGTCCCAAATGCAATGAGATCCCAGCTTAAGCTCCACATGGGCGCCCACAGAAGGCGAGTTGTGAACCGACCTCTTGACACAGTTTTTCGGAGAGTGAACCGACCAGTGTGGGGTGGTCCATTCAATGGTGTAGGTCTATGATGGTCTGCCCCTTTGTTCCGAATCCCTGGGCTCTCAGGGTCAGACCTTCACAGCAATTCCAGGTCTCAGGGTCGGCCAGGTCTACTTTGTGGGCTGAACAAAGACGGAACTATGAACAAATAGGCCCAAAACACGAGAGAAAACGTCCATTACTCGATCAAACACGAACCAAAGAAGGCACCGCAATAAGACCCAAAAACTCTGATGGGACTGGAATATTTACCGACCAGTTGGGGATAGTTGGGGTAGTTTTAGATGCTTTAAGGGTCAAGTGTAGGTAAATAGTTATGTAAATAATTGATGAATATTCCAGACCTGGACGGTCTGGGACACAGTTCCCCCTTGAAGCTCGGTCAGAAGAGACACATGCTTATCTCCAACATGATCGATACCCCTGGATACCCCAAAGAAATTCTGTAATACTCATCAACTCCTCCCTTTCATTCAATGTATATATATATATGGTGATTGATCAATATCCTTTCATCCTGGAATGGCCATTCTTCGCGGAAAGAAATGTCTTTCGCGGATCTTTCGCGGCCTCATCGCGAAGCATGGTCCCACAACCATGCCTGGCTAACATGAGCCGGAACATGTCATAGTATCACAAAATAGGGTCAGACATCTTGCAGCATGACCCCAGCAGAAGGTTGAACGTTTCCACAGCTACTCAGGGTCACTTGCGCGACAATTGTGCCAAACAGAATCAGACACAGCTCAACCCAATCCTCGTGCCAGCTACCAACACTTGATGATGCAGCTTGGGGAATTTGGGGGGCCTGAAGCTGGGAACCTGGACATTAGCGGCACATGTGCGAAACTTTTGCGGATCTTTCGCAAAATTTCACTGCTTTCTCCGGGAAGCCGTAACATTTGCAAACATCTGCGCAGCCCGTCAGAGCAGCTGCAGGTCGTTGCCTCACTGTCAGGGCTGTGCCAACTCATGTTGCTAGTCTGTGACAGTGGGGACAGGAATCGGAGAATCCTTTACGCACTGCCAGGGCTGGGCACAGAAATGTTGAGGCTTCAGTTCGTTAGTCTGTGACATATGGGTCACTTCTGCCCACCGGCTCTGCCGGAGGATTGCCTTGTATTTCTATGCTTTGTCAGTCCGGTAGGAAGGAAAACATATGAAAGCGATGACCTTCGATAAATCGTTCGCGGAAAAAAACGACATACTTTCGCGAACCTCATCGCGAATCTTTCGCGTATGGTTCTAACAACATCTGAAAGGCTGTTTTATATAAATCTCCTTACACGGGGTTTTCGATCAAATCCCATATACGCAGAAAGACACAGAATATGATATGGACTATTGGACGATGATATGACCTGAATCCAGTCTCTGCCCAGTCACGCCCCCACTTCGCACTGTCACGCCCCACTACCACCGTCTGTGTATCCACCTGGCGGCCACCACCACTACCTCCATGGCTCGCCCCGGTCAACGTGGTCTCCGGCTGAGCCCGAAGCAGAAACGGTACCGGGGTGTCCGAAGGTGCCGTGGTTCGGGTGGTGTCCGAATGGCTCTGGAAATGGTTGGTGAAAGTGGGGTTGATATCTAAGGCAATTGAAAAAACATAAAAAATAAAAGTGATCATTGTTGAACCATGTTGAACCCGACTGTTACAGGACGGACAAATCCAACCTCATGTCCCATGTTCGAACGAATGAAGTCGGGTCCATGGAGTGCATGCGAAGAAAGACACAGATGGGTGCAATTGATACAAAGCGCCACTCAAATGGACGATACTATACATCTCTACCATATCAATCGCATATCCCTAGGGCTCCTGTCCCATATCCTCAGGTTCGGTCGTTAGACCCCCCTGGCACCCACCCCAACCACCTTGTCAGGAGGTGGTTGGAGCCCTAGGGTATGAAAACCAAATATCTAAGTCTATGCCCACTATTGGGGCGATTCTTGAGATGGTTTTAAGGTCTTACTGTATACGTCTAGGTCTACAGTTAGTCGCATGGATGATCTTTGCGGTGTGCGGTGTTGTTGTGTTGCTGCTATCATCGTTTGTTGTTGTTGTTGTTGTTGTTGTTTTCTTAATGTGCCCTTACCCTTATTATGCTTATGGTCATTCCATGTCATTCCTCTTGTTGTTGAGATCATGTCTGCCGTTATTATTGGTGTTTTCAGTGAGATGTTCCTATGTCCTATATGTTGGAGTGCAACATATTAAAATTAGAGAACCCCACGCAAAAGAAATCATATTATTCGTCATCCTGGGGACGTTATTGAAAACAACACAACTCTTCCAGATTTCTGAAGAAGTTCGACGGGCTCAAAGATTTCACCATTTCATTTGGGCATCAGGTTCATTCAGGCTCACCTGGCCGAGTAGCTGAGTGGATGTTGTGGATGTCCAATATGTCCAATACATGTCAGGTTCTCTGTGTTTTCTTACCAAACCTGGTCGAAAATCAGTTCATGCAGGCTACAACTCCTATTTAACCATTTGCAGTATATGTAATCTGTTTTTTGGCCACAGCACGAGCACGCACTGATGGACCCACTTTGCAACAGGTGGAAGGTGTCTCACAAGCGGACTGAAACGACTGGATCGGGGATCACGGGGTATGTCTCTCAGGTTTTGGATTCCTTAGAAGTCCAAAGACCACATGTTGACTGGCTGAAGTAAAGGAAGCTCCCTTTCAGGCATTCTTTGACTTGCAGGGGACTGGTGGTCTACACTGCACCTGTTAGACACTACAGGATTCACCTCCCATCTTGACCAATCTCCAAACCCGTAACTCATTGTCCCATCTTCTCAAATAAAGGCCCTAATTCAGGGGAGTCAGGAGTTGATCCTGAATGTTTTCTTCAAGCAAGTTCTGGACCTGCCTCCAGAACCTGCACCCGGGAGCCAAAGCCGCACATCGTCGTCCACTCCCGTGCCCTCCGTCTCTCATCGTCGGGAAGGGGCGGCACCATGCGCAGTTCCTGCTCGTTCTCCCTGAAAGACATGTCACTGATTTCGTGAAATGTCTCGCGTTTGCTGAAAAACCGGGTGGGGGCGCTGGACGCTGGAAGAAGCGCCAGCTTCGCTGGGCTGGGCTGGGTTCACTCTAAGCTGGATTTGGGTGGGACCAACAGAGGTTGAACAACCCCATAGACTATCCCATAGGTACCCCAGTAAGGTCCTAATTCAGGTCACTGGCTACCTCTCTTGGGATGTGGTGAGACGTGACTTGGAGTCATGCTTGGATCCCTTGGCACCTTCTTAGTTCGGTAAGCAGGGAGACTATAGAAGATTGTAGAAGCATAGCGCCAGCAGAAACCGGTCGTGGCTTCGTTTCGTGTCGGTTTTATACATGGATCCCCAAACGGGATAGGAACGTCTGGACCATACCCAATGGCCGGAACCAAACACCCCTCCCCTGTCAAAAGCTGGCAGCAAACCAGAGACGACCCCAACTGCTCGGCCAAGACCCGATCCGACCACGTTCGGATCGTTCTGAGGTGCGAATCTGTGCGTTGTTTTTGCTCGAGACAAGCCCCATCCCGGATAAGCATGGAAAAACAAATGTCCTCAAGACTGGCACTGTACGAGTATCTCTCGTTGTTGTGTCGTTCTGAAGTGGGGCTGCGGAGAAGTTAGGACGAGAAATTCCAATCCCAGCCGTCGTGTGGACGGAAAATGACGGGAATGATAGCTTGCACCCTAGGACTCGAAGAACTACATGTCGACTACCAAATGAACCATTACCAGGAGTCACAAAAGGGGTGGTTTTTAGTCTCTAAGTGAGTGGTATATTGGGCACCCCTAACCTTGATGGATAGCACCCCGTCTTGTGACTCCTGGTATAAGGATTCTTGCAGTTATTTTACACTACGCCACCGGGAAGGCGGCCCGGCTGGAATGCGACTCCGCCAGCACGCCATGGCCCCCACTGATGGGTCTATCAGAGTCTATCAGCCAACAGCAGGCCATTGACGACTTGATGGGAATGGGTTTGCAGTTGGCACCCCATTTCCCATGTCCCTTCCCTGTACAGACCTGTTCGGACCTGTTTCCTGGTCCTTCCTTGTCTCAGGAACCCCTGTTCGGACCTGTTTCGTTGCTTGAAAAGCACCACGAGCCCCGAACGGACTCAAGGCCTGGACATCCACTGGACATCCGGACAGTCTTAGACTTGACTGACGTCCGCCAGTCGATTCGAGTCTCTTCTCAAATCGTTTTCAGGTGGAGGTCAGATAGGTCAGTGTATACTACAAATTCTATACGTAACAAGTGGTTAGGAAACTCCCTGTAGCTTCTTGTTTACGTGTTTACTGGGGAATATGGATACTCCCTGCAGCTCCTTCTCTTTGCCCTGAGCGCCCCCAACGGCATCGGGTGCATTCCTGGCGGCTCCCTGCAGCCGTCGAGCAAGACTCCAGGGCCCTGTTTGGGGTGCTATTGATATCCTATAGGGATCCACATACCTTCTCAGAAGGTATACTTGGACCCTCCTGGCGCCGCCAGCGCCTACATAAAGTAGTCTCCGTCCTCACCTAACCTGAGGTTCGGTACGACTGGATCGCGAGTGTAGTCGGTGTGTAGCTCAGTCCGAAGGAGATCGGATCCCGGTCGGCGTTCCGAGACCCTGGAGGGTTCGGAAACCAAACTTCTTCAGTCTACCCAGCCCTTCGGCCAGGGTGCCTCCCTATTCAAACACACAGCCATATCAATCATATCATGACGCTGCCATATAGGTGACGAGTCTGCTGTCCAACCGCCCCGACTGGAGCGTGGGCCCTGGTAGATCGGTTGATGAAACGCCTGGAAACGACCTGTGACTGGACTCGTGGCCTTAGACCAGCCTGGCGTCTTTCAGTTGACTATCCCACCGGTCGAGGAAAGCGGTCGAGCGGAGGATCGAGCCCAGTGAGGATACTGCCAGTTCCAGGGTGAGCCCAACGCAGCGCTTGGGGTTGGCATTGTCTTGATTCTGCCGTTGAACGTTCCAGACGGGATGTCAATTTGTAGGTCACAAGGCGAGTGGAACATGTCAAGAATAAGCACCTTAAGACCCTCATATGCAATGGAATGGCTGACAGTCATGGGGTGCATGACTGTATGCTTTGTGGACATCTTATGAACATTCTTGGGTCATGCTATGTCATGCTGATGGCGGCGGCAGCTACTGCGCAACTGACCATACCCTACAGGTCCTTTGGACCGAAGATCATGAACAACACGACTCATTGGAGAAGAGTCTGGGCTGTGTGGGTTCTGAGATCACTTACACTCCCTGGAACTAACATGGAAGTGGAGAATGACCCCTTGGAAGACCATTTTCCACTACAAACAGGTGGTGCCATCCACTTCCATGTTAGTTCTAGGGAGAGTATGTTTCAGCCCTTACATTGGGTTTTGAGCGATGCGGATTGAACGAACGTCCCAGTGGATCCCAGTTACCAAACCCCGTCTAGCTGGGAACCAGGGGGCCCTTCGTTCGGTCTATGGTTTTTGTATGTTTTTGTCTTTGGAACCACTGGTTACCAGCTATAGTGGTAACTGGATGCCCTGGGAGTGACAAATAAACATGATTGTTTTACAATGTTCTAAGTAGTTGAAACCACCCATCAGAGACGATGTTCTTGTGCAGAAGGTTCCATTGAGACCATGTGCCGAAAACAATCAGTTTTCCAGAAAAAGACTTCCAGCAATTCCATGGAGTAATGTAGACACTTGACCACTAGACCCCCTATCATCCAATTCAAATGGGGAGGTTTAATGAGGTCTATTCATCAAGAGTCTACATGATCTGCCGAACTTGAGGGGGTGGGGCTGCCCAGATTCACTGACTGCTTCAAAAACCTCTCCTTTTTTCAACTGCTGGTTGGAAAAACTCGCTTGGTCCATTGAAGATGGTGACCTCACCCTGATTTGATTTGATGCTGGACTCCAAGGACCGTGTCAAGATCCCAAACCTCCCGACATACAAAGACTCAACATCCCCCAACCATCCCTCAACCGCTTCCGCCCGTGCCCAAACCTCCAGCGGGGTCCTTTCTGTCCCAAACCTCCGACCTGACCGGCGCTTCGGCCCCCGCCGCCTCGCCGGGGACATGCCCACGGCGAAGGCCGCTTCGCGCACGCTGAAGTCCACCTCGGAGGCGGTCCGCGCCGCGGCGGTCCGACGGCCGCGGTGGACGTCTGCGGTGGGTCAGTGAAGACCTGCGACTGGCCTCCAGATCCTGTACCCCAGGAGGTACGAAATTCCAGGTTTTAGTTCTAGACCTCCAGTTCTAGACCTCCAGTTCTTGAGGTCACACGCCATGAAAGTCCAGGTCGGGTGGTTTTGTTGAGGCGTGCTTTTTGTTGTTTCGGCAGGACAAAAGGCGCAAAATCTGGGATTTGCATAAGACACCGGGGAACAAAACCGCCGTATTCAGAAGGGGATTCAACCATAGGGAAATACAGGGAACATAAACGGACCATCCCTAATTATAAGCAAATCCATAACGTTATGGTTGTGAAGGCAGAATTTTGCAAAAGCTGAGACAGGCGTGATTTGTTGATGGCCCTGGACCTTGGTGAGTATCATGTCCCTTGCTGCCTCACGCAGTTTTGGTGGTGAACACCTCCTTCAGGGGGCTGTCGCTGTACGGCAGATTAGCGGTCCCTGATGGTGCATGTGGCCGTGGGTGACCGGGGACGCTCGGCGAATCGAGATTGATTGAACACCATTGAGGTTCCACCCTGTACGACCGTGGGATGAATTCGGAATGTTAGGCTCATTCCATGTTGAAAGCATCAGCCAGTCTCTGGGGCTGCATTCTGATCTGCAGATGGAAAAAAAGGCGGATCTCCACTGAAAGATAAGGTCCAGTCTGACTAAGTAAAACCAGGTTCTGAAAACCTCATTCGTTCGTGTTCGTGTATGACCAACTCCAGAACAAAACAGGTCCCAGACCTCATTTGCTCAAACCTGTCCCAAACACTCTGGCAGACTGCCGATCAGCCCAGGGGTGGTTGACCTGGGGTCACTGTCACCAGTCCCATGGGTCGTGTCTGGGTGTGGGAGCTTTCGCCAAGGACGACCGGGCCCAGCTCCGACGCCCCGGCTCCGTGGATCGCTCCGGTCCGCAGGTCAGGCGGGTTCCGCAGGTGGGTTGGAGAGCGGTTCAGACATGCATCCGTTTGCTCCATGGAGATCGGACCTAACCCAATGCAGTCCGGTTCGGTCTATGGTCGTAGTCAAACTGGAACCACTCGTGGGAACTGAATACACAGTTTGAGCAAGTGTGCCCAGCCCTTAAACATGAGTGCCAAATATGAGGGTACAGTTCAATATAATGTTGCATGGAATGCACAGCCTAACAATTGTGGCGCCCCACACATATCCATTTCTGGAAGGAACAAACATAATGAATCATGACACTCATCGACTGACTCACCCACACTCGTGACCAACGAACTTCGTCTCACCAACAAAAATCCAAATTTAGGACCAAGCTGAGGATGACCTTCTGAACATGTTCCCCTGCAAAATGGGCAAGTGCTTGTTTCAAAGACTTCCAGTTTCTTGCAGTTTCCATGGAACAACCACTGTGGGCGTGGATGCATTGGGCACATCTCTAACACCTAGGCACATGCATGAATTCTCTTTACTGAATGGGCGCAAAGAAGGATGTCTCGACATCGCAAAGGCGCCGCCCTCGGACTCGTCTGTTCCACGGACTCGGAGCCGTCTTCATGGACGTCCGGGCGGTCCAGAAGAGCAGAATGGGAAGCTTCCTAGTTGAGTCAGAATCAACAGCCAAATGAATTCAATGATTCAACCATCCACTCCGTGGAACGCCTCTAGTTTGCGTTATCAGACTGGGGTGGTTTGGGGGGGTCATATTGATTCCAGTCGTTGGTCATACGAGAACACTAATTATAAGGAGGTTTTCCAAAAAAAGTGGTTGCCTGGATCAGACTGGACTTGTAGGGTATTGTTTTAATACATTTCCCAAAGGGTCCTTGGCCCCGCGGTGCGGCTTATGATCTATGTTGTTTTTTCCGCTTGGAGTGAGTTGGAGAATTCACCCTCTCTCAGGTGTTGATGAAAAGCTCTAGTACACTGGACAGTGGTTCTCTCAGGGCTTTACATCGTGGCAAAGCACTGGTAACGTCACTGGCGGGGACTGCGGGGATATAAGTTTAGGACCCTGACCACTGTCGCATGCTGAAACGAACGTAACCTACTGGTATGCCACCCCTTCTTCACTGCCCAGGTTCTCTCTCGGCGGCAAAAATGTGCATGGATCTACTGGCAAAATCTACTTTACTGGTCCAGGTGATCCAGTGTAGTTCGGTGTGCACCACTCGAATGATACGATGCGAATGGCGCCAAGCTACTCCATTGCCAGCCACTGCCATTCAACAAAGTGCCAGGACTGTGTGGAGTGCTATCCCGGAGGTGGGGAAAAGGTAGGAGAATGCTACAGCTAGGCTAGGGCTGCTAGGGTTGGGCGTTGGGAGCCTTCCTGAAATGAAGATGTGGTTTCAGGTGAGCTCATGTGAGCACAAATTCAGCAGCACCGACCTGTTGCGTGACCAGCAGCAATCTACGATTGACCCCCAAGCCGTTTCCTTGCAAAAGGTGAAGCTTTTTCTACCCATTGGAAAGGTGCGAAAACCCAGAGCTCAGTACTCCACCGAACTGTTCACTTGTCCGTATGGAGAAACCAATTCCTAAAAAGGTTTGGGCAGGTTCGCCACTTTTCCTGGGTAGGACCCAGGTCCTAAGCGTTTCTCGACGCCTTTCCTGGAAAATGCAGTGGGACGCCGCAACGTACTTCCTGGGTGGGATCTTGTCTTCATACCGGTTGATGTGGGAAGGTACTTTTGAGCAGGGCATGGCATAGGAATTACAAGGCGGGTGTCCTCTAGGAGAATCCTAGAATTCAATTTTAGAAAATTTGGAGATCCCCCGCGAACACCCGAATTAATCATAAACTCTACCCCATCCAGTTTCACTGGATGGCGGAAAGAGGGAAAGGCCACTACCTGCGAGCATCCTTCAAACCAAAGGAATACTCCGGTGGAAGTCTTTGAGACGATCATTTCCTCACAAATGAAGGAGGCAAGTGCTGGTTGCTTGCGGGAGGAGTGTTGGTTTTCATGGATGACAAGGATGAGCCATGAAGAGCCTGGAGATGTATCCTCCAAAATCAACCAAGCCCTTAGAGAATGGCATAGTTACAGTTACAGGTCTTGTTTGTTCTTAGAGTCTTTCTTTGGGGGGAGCCCGTCTCTATAAAAACCTGACTCCTTCAGTTTCCCTGGAAAATAAAGGTTAACCTGTTCCTACCTATTCTTGTTTAGTGGGGAAACCAATCCGCAGTTTTTGGGTTATCCACGTACTTCCTGGGTATGTTCTGAATCAAACATGAGGTCCAGTCTTCCAAGCATCACATTCGGTCCTCATGTGAGTGGACCTGGACCTGGAGTTCCATGCAACCATGGATAGCACGTATAAGATGCAAATACCTACATCTTTAGCATGTGTTATACCGTTATACCGTATGAATGGATGTGTGCATTTGAATAGGGGTCTCCCCCTCAGTTCGGCCTCTGGCAAAAGCAAACGCGAAATCCATTGGTTGGGAGGTGTCCCGTTCAAACCATTACAATCCCCATATGAAATCATATGAATGTGAGCCCGGGGCATCTCGACAACCTCCGACTCCATGAAACAGCTGGGAGGAACAGCCCACCCCCATGAAGGTCGACAGGGGATTCCCAAGCTGCTTGGTGATGAAGTACAAACGACTGTTACGAAACGGGAAGGCATATAGATAGACACTGTTTAGGAAGAAAACTTGTTTGGAGAAAATCACGAAAGCTAGCTAGTTTTGATATGTGTGTGGGCGGAGGCTAATTACAATATATATATATATGTATACCAGGTGAGCCTGGAACCTAACAATTTGTAGGTTCCTTCTGAAAACATCATCGGCTTTCTGGCAGGATCTGACAATACATCGACTTTCTGCAAACAACACGTATTAAGTGTTTTTTCCCCACATCTCTGTGTGGGGTTCTAGTTTTGTTGGCTGGCATCCCGCCCGCATCCGCCGGTCCTTCCTTCCTTCCGTCCTCCTCGCCCCCTCCTCCGTCGCTCAGGCTCCATTCACTCACTGACACAACACAAGATCTCACCACTCACTCACTCACTCACTCACTCACCTCACCTCACCTCACCTCACCTCACCTCACCTCACCTCACCTCACTCACTCACCTCACTCACTCACCTCACTCACTCACTCACCTCACTCACTCACTCACTCACTTCACTCACTCACTCACTCACTCACTCACTCTCGCACTCACTCACTCACTCACTCACTCACTCACTCACTCCACACTCACACTCCCAGGCGTCAGCAGAGACTTCGTCACTCACTCACTCACTCATTCACACCACTCACTCCATGACTGACGAGACTGCAGAAGGGCCTGCAGTGTCCAGAGACTGCAGAAGGGCCTGCGACGCGCGTGGTCGCCGCTGGGCCGGCTCTCTCCGCAGTGTCCAGAGACTGCAGAAGGGCCTGCAGCGCGCGTGGTCGCCGCTGGGCCGGCTCTCTCCGCAGTGTCCAGAGACTGCAGCAGGGCCTGCGGCGCAGAAGGCCGCAGTGTCCAGAGACTGCAGAAGGGCCTGCAGTGTCCAGAGACTGCAGAAGGGCCTGCGGCGCGCGTGGTCGCCGCTGGGCCGGCTCTCTCCGCAGTGTCCAGAGACTGCAGAAGGGCCTGCAGTGTCCAGAGACTGCAAAAGGGCCTGCGGCGCGCGTGGTCGCCGCTGGGCCGGCTCTCTCCACAGTGTCCAGAGACTGCAGTCTGCGGCGCGCGTGGTCGCCGCTGGGCCGGCTCTCTCCGCAGTGCGGCGCGCGTGGTCGCCGCTGGGCCGGCTGTCTCCGCAGTGTCCAGAGACTGCAGAAGGGCCTGCGGCGGGCTCTCTCCGCAGTGTCCAGAGACTGCAGAAGGGCTGGCGGCGCGCGTGGTCGCCGCTGGGCCCCCGGCGGTTCTGTGTCCAGAGACTGCAGAAGGCCGCAGTGTCCAGAGACGACAGAAGGGCCTGCGGCGCGCGTGGTCTCCGCTGGGCCGGCTCTCTCCGCAGTGTCCAGAGACTGCAAGAGACTGCAAGAGACTGCTGCATAGAACACAGTAGTTTGTGAGAACACATGGAGCCATACGACGATGCGATGTCTGCTGCCTGCGCTGCTTTGCAACGGATGATTCAGAGCACTTTGGACATGCCGCTCGAGGATCAGCCAACACTCGACCGGCTTTTGGCAGCGCACCAGTATCACTTCGGTGATATTTCAGATTGGCCAAATGACATCTGTGAAATACTTCCTGGGGAGATGATGTCTTTGGAACCGCCTGAGATCTACTTTCTCGGGAGCTTGGCTGCCTGTCGCCATCTCCGGACTCACCAGGAAACTGTCCCACTTTCCTATCGCAAGGTGTCGGTTGTCTTGAGCTTTTGTCCGCGGGAGATGAAACGTATTCGTGGACAGCCAGAGGTGGGCTGGAAAGCGTGGTTTGAAGATCTCCAGATTCGGTGGTTTACGTTCGACGTGGACGATCCCAGAACATACTTGGATGACACCAATACTTTTTGTCAAGAAGTGGGAAATGCCTGGTTGTCCTCGTGGATGGACATGTGCTGCGCTCTTCTGAAGCACTTGAAGGCAACGACTCAGCGAGAAGAACGAGGCATCCTCTTTCATTGCTTCGGCGGGGTCAACCGCAGCTCAGCGGCATTGTGCGCGTGGTTGATCTTTCGTCGTCAGCTCTCAGCGGAAGCGGCTGTGCAGAGCTTGTTGACGGCCCGTCCCACGCTGCACCCCTGGAAGCATCGGCCGCATATCTTCTGGGCATTGCGTACTTGGGAGAAGAACCTAAATTCCTTTGTGAGACCTCGCGTTTTTGCTGCAGTTCAAGAACTGTGAGTTAGCGTGCCGGCGAGTCGACGTGACGAGCTGGAGAGACTCTGACGATACACTGCTGCGAAAAGCATCGAAAACAACGCTGCCTTGCGTTGCAGAACGACTGACGGAGTTCGTTTCTCAAAAGAATTGACGCTGACCAAGTTCGTTTCTGACATCGACACTTCTGATGTCTTGTGCTAGCCTCCGCCTTCAGTGTTGCAAATATATACTCACTGTTCGTGCGAGTTGACCGGAGCTCAGGTCCTGCCTGGAGCTCACTCTACATCTCTGCGCGAGAGAAAAAAGCGTGTCTCACCTCTTCTTGCTTTACATCCTGCTAACACTGCCCGCCGTGGTCGGGATGAGATCATTTGATAGCTTTGATGGTCGTTTCAAGTGTGTTACGTTTTGAAGGTCGCATGCGGATCTGATGGCACAATCCACAGCCTCACCCACACACACACACACGCACGCCATCTCACTGCACACACACACACACACACACCTCCTCCCTCCCCTCCTTCTCATCCTCGTCCATCACATCATCACTTATACTGCACGTCTGAGCATCACCGCCTCACACTTCCTTCTTGACTTTTCATCTCACTACTCCGTCTCCCAAGTGATGTTCATATACAGTTGAAATTTGTAAAACTTATCATGTGGGGTTATCCGGTCCTTTTATTTTTTCAGAAGAGTGTACTTTATGTACTTTTGTGGACTACAGAATCTAGATCAGATACCTGAAGGTCCAAGAAACACCACAGTTCTCACGTTCTCGCTGCCAAAGCATCCTGATCAAAAGCCCGGCCATCTCCTTCAATTTCTTCCTCCTCGGGGCGAAGGAAGACGTGTGATCAACAAGGCTACGTTAGCCGTTAGCGGCTGTGGGTGCCATAGGACAAAGGGGACAAACCAAGAACAATGACACGTGGAAAACTCTTGGTTCGTGCATTTTCCCACATACTAGACCCTCAGGATAGGTACGACTGGACCCTCCAAATGTATAGCAAATGTGTCTGCAGGGTGGCAATGCATCTAGGGTTCAGTTACTTCATTATTTCAGCAATGCAACTGCAATGAATCAACCCTGAATCAACATCTTCCAGGGAATCGGTAATTCCACCAACCCTACTTATGGCTTATGAGATTCCCTTGGACACCCTGAAAGAAGCTCCACAATGCTTGGCCTTGTCAATCAAATAAAACATCCAAATTCATCCGAAACCACCCCATCCCCCTCAAACCCACACCAAAAACTACCTCCCAAAGTGATATATCTGGACCAGAAACCATCTCTCCAGACACGTCCAGTGTCTTTCGGTCCATACCTGACACGCCGCTTTTCCAAGTGAAAGCACTCCGTGAAAACTGCCGGTCCGACCGGTTTTGGTACCAAAAAAAACGATGGTTGGACCGGACCCGACCGGATGACGGGATCGATTCGACCGGGTCGCATGGTATTGAGAAACCGGTCACTCCGAGAGTCTCATCCCACCTTTGGGAAACATGAAGACTGTAGAAGGCTAAACGGAGGGTGTGTGGAGAAAGGGGGTCAGCAAAAATCCTTTCTGTGCACTACCTTTTTCGTTAGTAGAACCGGTTTTTGCAAAACCCTTTCTGTGCACTACCCTTCCGTAATGAATGTACCTTTTCCCGCCCCAAACACGGAGGACTACTTCGCCCCACGTCGTGAAACGGGCGGCCGGGTGCCCACGTGTCGACTTGGCCCAGCGTCAACGAGGGCGCTTGCAAGCGGCTGAGTCGCTCCACGCACTCCAGGGCCGTGGGCCGCGCGCTGGGCGCGGCGTGCCAGGCATCGAGCAACAACTGTCGGAGCTCTTTCGTGCGCACGAGCTCGGGGGCCTTGGTCCCCAGTGGCGACTGGTGTCTTATTGGGTTGAAGGCGACTGGTGTAGTAGGTTAGGCTTGGTCTCTGGTGTCTAGGTGACTGGTTTGTGTCCAGTTGAAGGCGACTGGTGTCAGTGTTTGTTTGGGGGTGAAATGAGATTAAACATGAACCCCAGGGCTCCTGTCCCACATCCTCAGGTGAAGGTGGCTGGGGTGGGTCTGTCCGGGTACCAGGGGGGGGTTGGAGATGGGACAGGAGCCGCAGGGAAAATCGGGCGAAAGAGGATCACCAAGGCTATCGTTGGAGGCCATCGCGGGAGGCCATCGTTGGAGACGCCACGTAGCTACTTGCCTGAGGCAGGGCGAGGGAGGATAACCAACCAACAGAGGTTGAACAACCCCGTACAACCCCAGGGTCCATCGAGTCAGTCTGATCGTGTCATTGGGGAGTTCCGTGTCGCACGAAACGTGTTGCACGAAAAGTGAAGGGGAGTTCCGTGTGTTTTAAAAAAAGCGATTTCCTAGCACTTCCAATGGGTGCCCTGTCTGGAGGCCTGTAAGTAAGGTAGCAGGGTAATCTAGAATTTGTTTGAACATGTTTGAACAACGTGTCGCGATGCTGCACCAAATGTCAGGAGTCCAACAGTCCAACACAACATGTTGCGATGTTCGTGGGGAACAAACACGAAATCATCGTGAACGCCAACTTCTTGGCATTCCAAACAAACCATGCCATCCAACCATGATGAGTTCAGGAACTGTACCGATACTGCAAATATCTATAAATCTGTGCAGTTCCAAACATTTCAATTTTGCACCCTCTTCATGTCCAACACACACACACACTTGGCTTCGAAACCATGTGAATACATGTCAATACCGGGGTTTCAAGAAGCAACACTGACTCCCTCTGCTCAAACATCGTTTGAACTTTGGAGACAACAAAAGAGCAGGAAAGTTCTGTAAGGTCGCTTGCAAATGTAGTTGGAAGAAGGGTTTAGTTGGAGGTAGGTGGAAATACGTACACGTCCATGAACCGACGAGGAAGTGGAATTTGCCTGAACAAGAGGAAGTTCATGATTATGTTGGTTCGTGATAGAGTAATTAACATCATGGAATGGGTAGGAAAAAAGAACAAAGCACAGCACTTCATCATTCCGCTCAGAAACCAAAAACGGGCGCGTCTGCTGGCCTCGCTGTCAGCTGGAAAGAAATGGCAGGGACAGTGGAGACAGTCAGGTCCAGACAGCAGTGCCATTGAAGAATGGGATGTTTTTGATACTTTGTTACGATGAGAAGGATGTTAGGAGTGATGTCACTTAAGGATGGGGTGATGTTGATCTCTATTACACCAATAAATGCATGGATCATCTGATATCATCTGTAAGTACTTGGAATGATGGGAGACATGCACCATGTTCCACAGGGCCATGTGGAACTTCCACCTTTGCTGGAGTCAGGGTAGTAGGGAAGCAGGATTCTCACTCCGATGAAAAAACACCCCATGCAAGTGCACACTTCTGTCCAATATATCCAATATATAAATATATATATATATCCCAAATCAATTGCCATGGAGTTGACCTTTAAGAAGACAAGTGGTCGCGGGGCAATAGCAAACAACCTGAAACCAAGAAAGGTTGACATCATCACCGGTTTTGTCACCGTACTTTCCAATCCAGAGCTTGAACCTTCAGACTTCACATACTGCACATACTTCAGACTTCACATACTTCAGACAGTGTAGACGTGGCGAAGATGAACATCGACACCGGAACCGGTTCGGCCGGTATGGACACCGGACACAGGATCGGATCCGATCCGAATGAACCAACCCCTGTCGGGCGGCTTCTTCGGCCGTCGACGTCTCGACACCTCGAGAGAGCGCAAACGAGGACCTTCCGACCGAACGACGCCGGTCCGGATCGACGGAAGCGAACGGCGCAGCGTAAAAAAAAACCGGATGAACAGGTCGAGTCGATGGGATGAACATCGCAGACCTGGGACAAAGAAAATGCACTTCAAACGCACTTCAATCTCCTTTCAAACTCTTTCATATCTTGGAGTTGCCCACTTCGGAGGTGGAGGCCTTCCGCCTCGATTCCTTTGGACCGTCCGCCTGCGCGGTACGCGCGCACGACCTTGCGCGGATCCTGGAAGGTATGGAAGGGCCTCGGTGGGCGGATCCTCCGTTGCCGGAACCGGGTGAACCGGCGCAGAACCGCCGCAGAACGGCGCGGAGTCGAGGAGAAAAACGCCCTGGAAGAGACCCATGGAACCTGAAAAGTACCGCCTGTGTTGCATGGTAATTCGGAAAATCGTCCTCCAGTCTGGTCCATGCCATCGGGTTCCATAGTTAGTCTTCCCGGGCGTCTGTGTTGATTGGTTCATATTGGTTCATACCTGACCGGACTATGGCTAAGGGGTTGCTTGTGCGCTCTGCACTCTTTCTGACTCAGTATCAGTCCTCGCCGTGGCGGAACGGATTCAACGGCAGCTCCGAACGGCCGGCGCGCCCAAAGCATCCGGAATGGGACTGGAAGTATTTGTTTATACAGTTTTTGTCATAAAATGCCAATGAAGTCACCTCATTCCATGAACACTCACCCAATCTCTGAATTAGACTGGAACAGTTGCATTTGGGCTCATAAATCAGTCCTAAGGTCTGGGTAAGGTGATGATATAGCAGTCTCATCCGGAGGTCCGGTGGGGCACAATTTGTGACACTGCTCATGTTCGAAACCGTGGTGGTTTGGTGCCGTTTGGGCTCCAGTCCCACATCTGAAACTTGGCTGTCCACAGGTCCTTTAAAGTTTAACCATTAAAGTGACTTTATAGTGGTTTAGCAAAAGATCCCTTGTAAGGACCACCGAACCTGAGGATGTAAGTGGGATGTAAGTGGGATGTACGACACATCCTGAAACAAATCTAGATGATCGATCTCAGCATCTGAACCAGCTGAGAAGCACAATTCCTGGATATATTATAATGATATATACTGTATATATAAGTACACTTATATACATCTGGAGATTCACATGCAGCTCTCACAACCCCCGAAGTAGAGGTCTTTTGGCCCCTCGTCCCATGTCCCCTTCTCTCCCCGTCTCGTGCTTCTTTTCGCGTACTCCCTGATGGATGACCAGCTGCCAGCTTTGGCCGCCTAGTCTCTTCCGCACAGTCTCCCCGACTGTCACGACAGTCAACCACCATCCAAGGGACTGCCGTCCTGAGAAGATGTAGTAGAGAATCAAGCTAAAAGCATAGATGTCAACTTTTTCATCGAAATCCTCCTGGCAAGACTTTTTGGGAGGCTTCGATTGCGGATCATGGATTGTTCGCAACGTTTTGATCGAGTGGTGGTCGAATAGGAAGGAAAAACGCTGAAATTGATGAACACAAGAATATGTATCCAAGAATATAGACATCAAAGTCAATCCGGGTCATGTATAATATATATATATATTATATAGCCAATCTCCTCATACTCCGCTGGGTTGTTGCGCTGGTGGGAACACAATGTCTTTGTGTGAAGCGCGATCACGCTTTGGAACTGGACAAAACACTGGCGAACGTTGTCCACAGCAAATGGCGAACGCTTGTTCAACCATCTCCTATGTCTTTGGGGAAGAACAGGGGCAAGACTTGCATCCCCTTTTTGGGATCCACCTCGATTGGAGACAAGCTCTTATATCCTATTAATGCCTTTGTTTCGAAGCCATTCCAAGTCCCAAAACCGTGTCGTTTTTGTCTGTTAATGCAGGTTTGAATCAATTCCAATTGACCCGTTTGCCGACCTCGCTCCTGTCCATGGATCCCTGTCCACCCCATCCGCTCCATCCACCCGCAAAACACCCAGCCCACCACCGAGACACGCCTTGCGTGCCACCTCGGGAGCCATGTAGCGCCAGGTGCCCTGAAGACCCATCTTACCAGGGAGCTTCGTGCCGCGAGGCCTAGGCGCGACGGCGTGGCGCGACCCGGCGCGGTGCGGAGGAGAGGCCCGGTGGCGGATCCAGAGGGCATGAGAGGCCAGATGTGACGTGCTACAGATCCAGTTCTTCCAAGTGGGTCATCTCTCGGCAACTGCACCACTGAAGCACCACTGCGTTGGGGAAACAGGCCACAGGTTGGCATGATGTTCTGACCGCATGTATGGAATAGTTATATATATACTATTAATTACTATTAGGCTCATCAACTTGAATTGGCTCAAGGAACCGGAAAAACCATATTCCCCACAAGGGCTTGAATGACTTTAATCCATAGGGAAAATAGAAAAATCACCTTAAGCAAAACCAGGTCCTGGGGAGTACATGGATGTAACTATTCCAGTCCCCTGGCACCCCCATGGATGGTCTGGGTTTGGAGATCGGCGGAGGTCACGAACTGAGAGACTCCGACGAGAGGTGACGACCTCTGAAGAGGTCCTTTTGAATGGGATGTCAGGCTCCCTACACCTCCAGTCGTACCTCCTCAGGTTCGGTATATAACTGGACCCTCCTGGCACCCACCCGGGCCCCCGTCGTCCCACCTTCAACGAAACGGTACGACCGGAGGCCTAGCTATAGGGACCTGTCCATCCCATCGACGACGTCACGGCACCACACGTCCACCGATCCACGGTGGTGCCGCTCGTCCAACGAAACTGGACCAGCTGTGTCTCATCGAACACCAGCGGCCAGCGGGCTGAACACGACCATCTTTCAATCAGAGAAATGGAATCAGGAGATTGACAGGATGAAAGGTAGAGGTTTAGCCAGCGAAACAGATGCAACCGTGGCACACATGGGAAACCGGATGGAAGCGGACCGGAATAGTGTTCCTGCTCCCTGGATCACTTAAACCATGTTATACCATGGTCAAGGAATTCCGAGGCAATACCTTCGCAATTCCGTGTCAATACCGGTCATTCAACCCTGTATCTACCTGTGGATGGAAGGAGCCATGTATGGAATGGTCACCTACATGAGGGTCATAAATGGGGTATAAATGATTGCATGTAACCATGCCAGTCCCATGGATGGTCTGGGAAAGTTGTTTGATCCTCACAATCCCCCAGTTTGGGATTGCCAATTCCAAACCACATGTACAAAGGATCACCTTGGGAATTACCCAAGCCGGTTTTCCTTGCCTGTGTCCCGAACCCAGACCGAAATCTTTGAAGATCTGAAAGGCAGAGGGACCAGTGTCCTGCTATGAAGGTCCAAGGAAGGGGTAGGTTGATGAGCAGATCGGCACCCCACTTTACACCCAGGCTCATCTCCATCGCGAGGCCAAAATCGCCCAGCTTCACCTGTTTGAGTGCTTGGAACAAGCACTCAGGGAAAAAAGCGACGCTCTGGTGCGCAGAAACCAAGTGCCTACAAAATGACTGTATTCTTGGGTGACTTCAGACTGATTCATAGCTATGTGAGCTAAGCATCTGCAGCAAACTTGTGTTGTTCATTGTCTCTTTTCCACCTACCACCACCACCAACACCAAATCACCCTGTATTTAAGACATGTTAAACACTCATTCATACTCTATACTATATATATAGGGTACGTAAATAAGAAGGTCAAAGGTGCAGTTCATCGGAGATCGTCATCCTTACGGAGCCATCATCCATCTAACCGGCTCTGACCGCCAACGAGCAAGCGGTGTGTTGTGACGGACAACCACTTAGAACAACAAGAATTGTCCCAAATCCCAAACCCTTTTACTTGGAGAACCAAAAGGTCTGTTTGCACAAATTCCAGGGCTTAGAACATTGTCATGTTCTTAGATGACATGCTTAATCCCTGTGTCTAAAAACATCTACATCACTTAGAACATCATTTCATATGCCTATATGAGGATGTTATTCTATTGAAGCGCAATTGTCCTCAATGTTTTTAGCCTTACGCTTAGAACATCCCTGACCAGGGAAAATCTTGCAAAAGTCTTTCCAAACAATGTTCTAAGTGGTTGTCCGTCGCTATACAGTACTCTGCGCTGAATCTGATCACCCCAGCCGGAGGTTTTCCTCGACCTGAACGAGTGCGCATTCGCTGGCAAGACACCTCGAGGTCCTTCGTCAGAAACATGTTCAAAGGCTTCCTTAGGCGGACGGCGGACGGCGGACTTCGGAATAGGGTGAGTTCTTGAAGCCGCATGAGTTCAGCCCAAACATGCATGAGTTCAGCCTAAATAGTGGACCTTGTCCGGAACATCTCGGCCTCATCTTCCTCTGTCGCCTCTGGGACCCACATGCCATTTTGTGGATGGCATTCGCCCGTTTCGGCAGCACGATCCACCTTTCTTTGAATCAAGGGCCACGTGCCACGTGGTGTCATTATTCCAACCAATGTCTCTCCGGCGGCATTTAAGGGACTGTTTCCTATCTTCTTTCATGTCCCTAGAGCTCCACTACATACTCAAACGAACAAAACAATAAACTGACCCCCCAAACCCTTCCTATAGAAGTCTTGGAAGGGCATTCAAGCCAAATAAATTGGACGATCATTCTAGAATATTCTAGCGGATCCACCTCCCCCCAAATCAACGCCTGTGGCAAGAGTGACGCCGAACTTCTCGCCGGGCATCAAGTCCCGGTGCACGATTGGCAAGTCCCGCTCGTGGAGGTAGGCCAACCCCTGAGCCGTGCTGGCAGCCCAGTGAAGCGCCAAGCAAAAGCTTGGGCGCCAAAAACCATTGAGGCAGCGAAGGCTTTGCTGGAGCATATAGGTCCTCAGATTTGGGGGGATGAGCGCTGTGACTTCATGCATTCCGATGCGGAGGGTGGAATGGAGGAAATAAGTATATTATAAGTTATAAAAGAGTAAAACATAGTAGGTTCAAGTTGAAGGAACTTCAATACAGTCTGGAGCATCTGTTTTTTTTCATCCAGTCCATACTGTATGCAGCTACCCGTGAGACACACAAATTCAAAAAAACAAGAAATTGAACTATCCCTCAAGTGAATACAACACATCCGCCAATCTTCGGAACATGCTCGTTCAAAGTTGTTTGCCGCCAAGCAAGGAAATGTTCGATTGAGGTCAACAAAATGAACCATGGGACCCACGCGAGTCTCTTTTTCACAATTCCATCCACAAGCCTGACCTTTGGCTTGGACCCCCAGGGAAAAATACAGTGTAGGAGCTATCTCAGTAGTGATCTTTCTCTCTCTCTCTCTGCAAATTATAGAAACACATAGAAACCAGCTGAGCATGCTCAGCATCCATATTTATACTCAGGATAATTAATGACCAGTCATTCTAGAGGAACTTGCTTGAAAAACCTTTCATAATGGTTGGTTCATTGGTTGTCCTCCTTAGCCCTACTGGAAACAGGTAAAGTCAGGCTCCCAATGAAGTGCTTCTTCAGTAAAGGCACTCAACGTCCTGCTTGAGCATGAGCTCGGTCAGCATCATCGGTGAGGAGATGTCAAGACTAGCACCCACCAGCTGCAAGAGTGAGGGATGATTGATCTTGCTGAGGATCTGAACCTCGTGCATCAAACCCTCCATCCTGAGTTCGCGGGGCGGCTGGCGATTCATCCCGTCAAGGCAGTCTTGACTAGCTACACCAGGTGTGAGTAAAAGAGATGCGGCCATGAGACTATTTTATGACTCTGCCAAGCCCCACAACTGGCGAGTCATGAGTGTAAAGTTGCCCCATCTATTCCTGAAAACCACATGAATGAACCTGTTCCAAATCTTGAGTAGAATTGGTGGTGAGTGGCGAAGAAGAAAAATTGTTCGTGTCAAAGGCATCTGAGACTACCCAAAACAAGAAGCTGCTCCTTATTCGAGCCTGATATACTCCCTGGAATTATCATGGAAATGGGGTCATGGCCAGGTAAGGATTGACCATTTTTCTCTACAAACCGGTGGTTTTCCGCCTCCATGAAGGTTCCAGGGAGTGTATCCGATATCAAATGTCAAATGGATTCGAGTCCTGCACCTGGTCGTGGGTGTTTGATCTCAGTTGGATCACCTGTGAACTTCTAAGGCTTAGGCCACCGCGCAACCGCAGGGCCGGACTTGAAGCTGCAGCCCCCCTACGATCCCTACGTGCAAAGTGGTTAGAGATGTAGAAAAAAACTCCCAAGTCAGGCGCTCCTTCTCATTCCTTCTCCAACCTTGGGGTGTCAGGGCTCTTTTCTTCCAAGCATCTGTCGTTCTGCCTTCTCCGACGTGCTGTCGAGCCTGAGAGCTCCGCGAACGGCTATAGGGAGGTCCGGACGAGCTCCGGACGCGAACAGCGAGCGCCTTCGGCGTTCAGGTGGCTGCCGAACGGGGGTGGCAAACCGGGCGCTCCCCCACCCGGCCTCACGGTCGCTCCCGAAAGGACCCCTCACGGTCGCTAGAGCTTGGGCCGTGGTACCCTCGCCTCACAGGGTCCGCCTGCGCCGTGGTACGGCGCGAACTGGTGTTTCTCAAAGGCACGGTGTTTCTCCTGCTCTGTAAATGTTCCCACTTCATCCATCATGACCAGACCCACATCATCATACATCATCAAGAAAGAGAGACCAGCCAAACCAATGGTACAAGAAAAGCATGGACTCAAGCTATCTTAAACTTATCTATTGGCTCTTGTTGGCAGGGGATGGTAGGTGGGTCTCCCTGTTCTCCATAGATTGCCGTCCTTAGGTCTGAGTGTTGCTCCC